CTGTGTCAGAGACACTGCATCATCTTACTGCATGAGTGTGTGTGTGTGTGTGTGTGTGTGTGGTGTGGGGTGGGGGTGCCGCCCTATATAGGTCTCTTGCTCTCCTCTCCTGCTGCAGCAGTGTGTCACTATGCTTTAAGGCTGGGCTCTGGCCCACTTTTACTGCATTGAAATGCATCATGGGACACAGAGTCTGAATAATGCAATTCCATCACGCTGAGTATGTATGACTATGTGGCAGCTTTAGTGCTGCTCATGTTTTATGCATCTACACAGCTGAAGTGTTCAAATCAACTGTAATGTCCAAAACCACATACCGGCACAATAACACACATCTTGTTTCTGGTAACACTTTAGTAAGGCTAAGTTCGTTAATGCATTGGATACAATGAACTAACAATAAAAGACAGTTTTTACAGCATTTTTTAGATCTATCTATCTATCTGTCTAGATATATAGATACTGTATATAGATATATAGATAGATAGACAGATACACAGACACACACACACACACACACGCACACACAAATAAATATATCTATTGATTGCCAAAATTGTGAGAACACCCGACAGATCTGAAATCAGCCTCCAAATATTTATCCACTTTTAACTTTAATGTTTGGTATATCCACCACTTGCAACAATTACAGCAGCACATTTCTCTGATATAGTGTCAATATACTGTATTTCCTGAGAACTTAAACACTAATGTTATCCCATGCCTTCTGCAACTCAAGCCAAAGGCTTTCTTTTGAATGTAGAATATATCTGTCCTGTTTATTTTCCAACTCGCCCCAATTTTGCTCGATGGGGTTGAGGTCCGGACTTTGAAGGGGGGTCAGTCCATCATTTTCAATGTTCCAGCAGATTCCTTCTGTCACAGGTAGTCCGTTTTATGGGTATTGCAATGGCCAATTCAACAAAAACAACTGAAACCTCTTAAATATGCCAAGTGTTTTAACAATTTTGGCCACCACTGTATATATACAGTATATGAACTAATGTTGACAGATTCAACCTTATTGTATACCCAGGTGAAAAATAAATATATTTAAATTGTGCTTTTTCAGACATACTTACTATATTTAAATTATACTATACTAAGTGCATTTTAAATGTATTATTTTGAAACAACTTTAAGTATATTAAGTGTATTTCAAGATATGTTTAAGTTGGATTTTAGTCTATTTGTAATGTATTTAATATATTGAAATTGTGTTAAATTGGAACCACTTTAAGTATATTTAGTGCAATTTAAGTGTATTTCTTAAAAGTTCATGAAAAGTTCATGAACTACAGTTAGAGTATATTTGAAGCATCGTTTTAATGTACTTCAAGTACATTTCAATTGTATTTCAGCTCATTTGAAATGCATTAGCATTACACTACTAGTATATTATAAAGCTGCTTTTTTCAGTATATACACACACGTACACACTTTGATATCTAGAAAACTTTAATATATTATATATTGTTGTGTACATACAAATATTCATAAAGTACACACAAAAAAGACAGCAGCATATATACTTTGGTGAAAAACAAAACAAAACATACTATTAAATGTATTAAAAATGCACTTGAAATACAAGTATGTTTATAGTATATTTGTATTACTACAAGCATACTCAAGTACATTTTAATACATTATAAAAAAACATAAATAAAAAAAGTTATACCGGCCTTACTAAAAAGTACAGAATTTTACATCA